AAGCCAACTTGAGCCTTATTTACTGTTGCCAAAAATAAATTCGCGTAAATTAAAGGACGCCAAATAGGCATTTAATAATATGATTTAATATTTTCTTAGTTGTGATATTTTCATTTATGTAGTAATAAATTCAATAAATAATTAATTTTTCATCTACATAAATTGTTAAGAATAAAAAAATGATCAAACATTGTTCATTTTTTGCAACTTTTTGTGTAATGAATTTGCAATAATTTTTATTTGAAAATTGCTAAATGTATATTATTGTGTACATCTTCCATGAAATTGTCTCCTATGTGGCACAACCTGGACAGCGCTGTGAAAGGGTGTTAGAAAAATCAAAAGTTATGATGGTGCCATATGAAAGAATGTAAAACTTAATGTGAGGCAAGATGTTCATATATCATAATTAATTTTAGTTTTGTGTAAAATTGTGCAAAATTTTGGTACGGGACTGAAGATAGTCTGAAGTCTAATTTTGTTAAAACAAAGTTTCTAAGTCATTGCACAACCATTTTAAAATCAAAGCTTGGATATCATGTAGTTAAGTTTGACCTTTTGTCTTAAGAGGCAAAACGTCTGTTTGTCAATATGAGTAGTATGATTTTTTTATTACTTTATCCTCAAATAATGTGGGATTCACTGTTTTCAACCAAGAAGGTGGATCACGTGAGAAAACTATTTTGGAATATGCGCTTTATTAAGAGCAGTAGTCTAAATTTTTATATATTATATTTTTGTTTTGTATTTAATTGATGGAGATGTACCTTTAATAAATATAATATAGTCAACGTCAAACCTACTTTTGGATTTTGGACCGTGTGAAAAAATCAATTAAGAGCTGTTTGACAAAGTTTTTGATAAAATAAAAAATTAGCAGAGTTTAATAAAAAATGTAAATTTCATTAAATTAATTGTTAACTTTGATTTCGATTTTTAAAACTTTTTACAAGCACCTAGTTTGGAATCTTACGTAGAAGATAAGGTAATTACTTAAAAGATGTAAGCTCTCATAAATTAAATCGTGAGCAATATTGTGAGATAGTGCAACATAGGGAGTTGGAGCATTGAGAAAAATGCGAGATTATGTAGGGCTGAGGGAGGAGTGCACGAAAAAAATGTGTTTAGAATTGATGATCGGTTCGATGGGCAAAAAAGGAAATAATACTAACATCAAGATCTGACTATGCATGAAATTATATTTTCAGTTAAATATTTTCATTGAGAAGGATTGATTTATGACAGTCCAAGCTTGCACTAGAGAGTAATATGTATAAATCAGTGTTCTAAAAGGCACGCCTAAACAGAGCCAAGGCATTATTTAAGTGCAATGCGTGGCGGAAACGTCAAGCCAAACTTGGCACCTTATTTAGCGGTCAATGATTGCTGTTGACTACTAATGTGTGCCTCGACATGATCATGTGGGCCTAAGCGCACATTATTATCTTCTCTTCTTCCCTTTTTTTTTTTTTTTTTTTTTTTTATCTAAAAGGCTGATTTTATTTTTTTCCAATTCATCCGCCCTAAATTCAAATAATTGCTTGAAGTCTTGAACAAAGGAAAAATCCCAAAAATTCCTATTTATTTACTATTTAGTATTTACATTTGAAACTTTTCTTTTTGTTGGAAACTTTAAAAAAAAGTATAAAGTTTCTATAAATCTATTTTAGATATTTGATAGGTATTATTTTTAATTATTAAATGATTTTTTGATTGATTAAAAAGTAAAATAATATTAAAATAAGAAAACGATTTTTTTACATTTGTCTCGCCTAAACTCGCTTAATTCATAGCATGACCTCCACGTATTACGCCTTTTAGAACATTATGTGTGATGCATGAATAAATATATTTTAAATAAAGTTAATGAAACGTATGAATAAAAAGTTAAAAGTTGATAAATATTGTGAATTTCATTAAATATATGATAAGAATTAATTTAAATTTGAATTTTAAACTATTAGGAGTATCGATTTTTGCACGTGGACTCAAAGCTAACTTGCAATGCTACAAGTCAAACCTGGAGACTAAAGAGACCGGCGTGGTGTGCGACTAGTCATTCACTTATTCATTAATTCGGATGTCATTTTTAGTCCTTTTCTCCTTTTACTTCATGGAGGGTGTCATACTTTTTTATTTTTATTTTTATTTTTTGTCAAATCACGAAAAAAAACAATAATAATAAAATAAAATTTGGGGGCCATACTCGTGTTTATGAAGCTCCAATCTGATTTAGATAAAATCATAATTTTAATCAGTTTTGATAAAGTTGATAGAATGTGTAATTGAATTATTGTGAATCTTATTAAATATATAATTAAAATTAATTATCAACTTTAACTCAAATTTTAATTCGCTTTTATAATTGAACTAAACAGGAACGAAATAATTTAGGACAATGCAAAAAAAAAAAAAAGGTCATATTTCTCAATTTAAAACAGTGCAATTTATTTAACGCTTGTGTTGGCTGCGATTTTAAATCAATTAAAATCAATTTTTGATCATTATTTCACTATTCAAGTCGTCATTTTTGAATTATTCTCTCATACGTAGAATCCATTTTATCTCTAATGGTGTAAAAATCAATTCTCAAAATCCCTACCAAACAAATATTTAATATTTATTCCAAGGCTAACGTGAGAAGGTTCCTTAATTATTTTTTACTAGTTCGTTTTTTAATGCACTCTGCACTCATATCGACGATTTTTTATTTTATTTTTATTTTTTTAGGTTCAAAGTGAAGCATCGTTCCCAAATCCGAACTAGTTCTCAACTTCTTAGGTCTTTTAATACTCGTGACCAAGCCAGTTGTCTCTCTCAATTGAATTACATAACAATAAAATGTTGGAATTCAACAAAAACTAAACTCCAATAATTCATTAAATAGAGGGTACGACTTCAAATATATAAAAAAGAAAAATCACATGTATCATTGAAGTAAATTATTGCACTAAGTGAGCTTTGATGAAGGCATAGTGCAAAATCAAGTTCACTTAAAACAATATTTGGTTCAAACAACCCTCCTACTTTTTGTACAGTTTTTAATTAATGGAGGGGGAGGGAGTGGGGAGGGGGGTGAAGAAAAAAAAAAGGGGAGAAGAAGAAGATTAGAGGCTAAGAATTACTTAGTATCCTCCTCCTCTGGTTTTTTGCAGCAACAAATGCTTGGTTTGAAGCCCTTTTCCAGCATCTTTTCCACCTCTTCAAATTGCAATCCTTTTGTTTCAGGGACTAGGAAAAATATAGCGACAAGTCCAAGAAACGAAAATCCAGCAAACAAAAGAAATGTGCCAGCAGAACCAAGAGCTTCTGTTAGTGTTAAGAACGTCTCGCTCACTATCAGATTAGAAGCCCAATTAGAAACTGCTGCGATTCCTCCACCCAACCCTCTGTATCTCAGTGGATAAATTTCGGAATTCACAATCCACGGGACTGTTCCCATTCCAGGTGAGTACGATATAATGTATAATCCCAGAAGCAGAACTGCGAAAAACCCGAATTTGGAAGGACAGCCTTGTGTGTACCAAGTACGACGTTCTTGACGACAAGAACCTCGTATAGCATCTGTTGAAGCCAAGCATGCTCCAGGATGATACTAATAGATGGGAAACATGGCAAAAAAATGAAGAGAATTAAGACACATAATAGAGTGTGAAAAAGTAAAAAGAGGAAAAGTTAATATGGAAAGCTCACTTTGTTATCTCCATTAGCACAAAAAGCACAGTGGGGCGAGGCTTTCAAGCACGACATGCAGTTCCAAGATGATGCATCGGGGGCTTGTAAGAAACTTGAACAGGTGGAATTTCTGCCAAAGTGTTGAGATTCAAGGCTACTAACTGACGGAGAATGAATTGAAGCTTCATGAAACATGATAGATAATGCGACAAGGCAAACTATAATTCCAAACATAGAGATAATCATCAATCTTCTCCTCCCGAATCTATCAACAAAAAACATACTAACAATGGAGCCAACAGCATTAAGACCGGATGTGATGAGAGAAAGTGCCAATGCTGTCTTGTTTGAAGCAAATCCGGCTAGTTGAACAATCGTGGGACTGTAGTACATGACGGTGTTTATACCCACAAATTGTTGAGCAACTTGAACGGCTATACCTGCGTATAGGCCCCGACGCACAACTACGTTACCCCATGCGCTTTTTAGTTTGGAAAGGAAGTTGTCACCGATTGAACCTTCCTCGGCCTTCTCCATTTCAATTGATAATTGTAGAGCTTTCATTTCATCCTCAACTTCATTAGAAGGATAAATTTTCTCTAAAATAACCCTAGCTTCCTTAACCTTGTCCTGATCAATATTATTATGTGGGAATTGTTTATAAATTGGAGCAATAAAATGATTTGCTATATGAAATAGTAAATCTAAGAGATTTTTACCTTTCTATATAACCATCTGGGGGACTCGGGAAGTGACAACATTAAAATGAATTGAACGACGGCCGGAACTCCTGCTACCCCAAGCATCCATCGCCAGGTTCCAGGTGCCTTATAACACATCAATTTCGTTTTACATTAAAGGAATATAAACATAGGAAAATCTAAAATAGTGGAAAGGCATTAGAAAAACTACCTTGGTGAATGCTAAGTTGATAAGATATGCTAAAAATTGTCCTCCAGTAATTAGCAAACCGTTTGTGCTAACTAACGCACCTCGAATTCTAGCAGGAGAAGCTTCGGAAATATAAAGGGGTGATGTCATGGAAGCCATCCCCACTCCCAAACCAACTAATATTCGCCCAAGGATTATCATCCATGGCGCTGGAGCAGCGCACATGACGATTGCACCACAAAAGAACAAGATATCAGCTAGAAGAATAGATTTTTTTCGACCGTACTTGTCATTGATCCAACCACCAACAGCAGCACCAATAATAGCTCCTGCTACAGCCATGCTCACAATTGTTTCCTACACAATGAACGAACATATTAATCAATCTTGTTAAAGAAATGTAAGAAAGTCGAGAGTTTAGAGAACCTGAGTTACTTACCTGCAACCATGTATGCCTGTCAACAGATTTGAAGTCGTCTCGAATGTAAAGTGATGCACCAGAAATAACACCTAGTGACCAGCAGCAATTTTGTTTAAGTGATAGACCATTTACAACATAGCATGATGTGGAGTTCAAAGTAATTTATGCAAAATTATTGAGAAATTATTTTTGGGAAAAAAAATCTCACCAAACGCGAAGCAGAAACAAAAAAAAAAAACACAAACTGGCCAAAAAAGAGAAAAAAGAAAATTTAATGTGGTTTCGATGAACCGCCACAACCACATGAGAAGAAAACTTTATTAGCTGCTAAAACTTCACAACACAATGTTTTCCTCGCTCTTACAACTCTCCATACAACAGAAAAATCAACATACAACACGTAAGTGTGAACTGCTGTTTCTCCCTAACCTTTTTCTCCTCTAAACTCATCAAATTTTAGATGCATGTAATTCTCTACCCAGATTCTCGTCATCTTGGTGCCAAGCACAATTGATCTCAATAGAATGTCAAGAATTTATAGGAAAGACCTTCCCTTATTGGATTAGGAGTCCTTATCCTAATTGCAAAAGGACTTCTCGTTTCCAATATCGAAAAAAGAAAAAACAATTTTACCTTATTGCATTAGTTTATATTTATTGTCAAACTAAAATTCAAACTCTTTTATTTCCCAAATTTGAATCAATCCCAATAATTATGATGAAGTCAGTAAAAGAAAATTATCTGTTACCAGTGTCATAACCAAACAAGAGGCCACCAATGCCAGCTGATAAAGCAAGTCGCATAATATAAGGAGTTTTCCAAGTTGTTCTCCAGCATTCCGTGAATTCGGTTTTATCCGGCTTAGAAATACCACCCTCCATGTTTTTCCTTTCACCAAAATAAATTCAGCAGTGGAATTCTATAAAATACAATTGAATTCGAAGATTAGAAAATATGAAGTCATACAAAGATATAGAATTACTTTCATTCGATGTACTAAATTTTATACAATCGTTACAAACAAAAATTATAGTTCTTTATATGTTTTCTTAGACGACTTATCTGTCAAACAGATAATTAATAAATAGGACCCAACAATAATCTTCCACCACTGAAGCAATCAATCCAAATTATGCCTTTCAGTAAATTTAACAGTTAGTTCATGATTAACGAAATTAAGAATAAAAAAACTCCTCTCAAATCAAAATTTTCAAAACCTGGGAATAGAAAGGGACGATTGTAACTCTCAATAGAGCCTGATTAACCTAATGAGAATTAGAAATTTGAGGGTCCTGTGATTGAAATTCAGTTTTATAAAATAAAAAACCCCTCGTAATATGACATATTCGAGGAAAATCAGATTCAAGAACATGATATAATGCAGTTTTAACACCATGCAGAAGAATCAAAATAATAAAATCGAAAACCCATGTGAGAGATCTCTGCACATAAACAATTATATGCGTACAGAATCATACCTCAAAAAGACGACTTTGGTTCTTCTTCTGCTTTCTCCTTCTACAAGTGAATATAAATAGATAGCAAATATATCCTAATCCTACTAATACAGTAATACTTGAATGGGATTCCAATAAATAGGACTCTTATTTATTAAAGGATGTTGGCAATGGATAAACACTAATTCGAAATAAAATTGTATTTTATCCAGTTCCTCTCGAAAAAATTGCTCAATTTTGATTGGACTTTGACTCTAAATTAGGAAGGGCCCACAGGAGTAAAACGATAGATTGTGTCATGCCGTATTCTTTGAAATCCTAAGATTTCTTTGAATTTTTGTGTACTGAAGTATTATTGTATTTAAGTAGCATTTCTCATATACTGTATTTTTTGGGGGTTATTAATGTCAAATAATAAAAATCTTGAACTCCCAAGTTTGCAAGGAGACAAAACCCTTTTTATTCGACCCACCAGAAAACAAGGGTAAGGTACGACGCATTAATAACGCGATAGGGAAAAATATAAATAAATGTTTTAAATTTTTTGAAAAAGAGCTATATAGATCCATGTTACATTTTAATATTATCTTTATGAAAAATTTGCAGTCGAGGTATCAAACATTTCGTTTATTAGTAGACTTTGCCCAAACCTTTAATTTGTATTAATCACGGTCCCAAACCTTTCAAAAATATACACCGAAGGTTCAAATGGATGGAAATCGTCCGTTTGACCGTTAGTTAACTAATAAAATTGAATTTTGACCAATTTTTGACTAACTTAAAAGGGTAGAAAGGTAAATTTTCTATTTAATTCTATAATAAAACAAATAAACTAATATACCAAATAAAAATAAAAGAAACTACTATTCATCTTCTTCTTCCACCACCCACCCAGAAGCCCGATTCCATTGCCCAAAGCCACCAGTCTCCGGCCAAAAAATCAACCAAATCCATTGTCATTTCCTTGTAAGAAACAATGGCATCCCAGTTGCGAAAGAAATCACCCTCATAAATCAGATTGCAAGAAACAACACTTTATTGCGAAAAAACAGAACTTTGTTCCCAAAAATCAAGAATCTGAAGAAAAAGAGGAAGAAGTATATGATGCAGAAGGAGACAAAGAGGATAGTAATTTCAGCTTGAAGGGCTCGACTCAATCACACTCCCATGGGGTCCGACCATTAGGATATCTTTACTTCAGCGCTTCGAGCAAATTGGGATTTCTGGGCGCAAGGCTAGCTATTTGTATGACCTTGCTAATAAGTATAATTCCGGGATTTTGATGGATGAATCAGTGGTGAAAATGGATGACAGATCATTGTTCACAATGCTCTCGATGGTGAAGGGGATAGGTTCCTGGTCAGTCCACATGTTTATGATATTCTCGCTGCGTCGACCAGATGTGTTGCCTGTGAGTGATTTAGGGGTTAGGAAAGGTGTGCAGTTGTTGTATAGTTTGGAGGATTTGCCTAGGCCATCACAGATGAAGCGGTTGTGTGAGAAGTAGAAGTCGTACAGGTCAGTTGGGGCATGGTACATGTGGCAGTTTGTTGAGGGGAAGTGGACTCCGGCAGCTAGTGCTACAACGGCCGGAGAGAGAAATGAATTGACGAGTTAAGTTGGTTGGAGACTATGGTGGCGACAGCCCATGGAATTGGGGTTGGGTGTGGTGGCGTGACGTGGCGTGGCGTGGCGTGAAGATGAAGATGAACAGTATTCTCTTTCTTTTCTTTGATTTTTATTTATTTTGTTTTTACTTTTCTATTGTTATTATTAATTATTTTAATTATTAATATTAAGAAAAAATGCAAAATACCACTTTGCCCTTTATAATTTGGTCCAAATTGGTCAAATTTTGACTTTTATAGTCAACTAACGGTCAAATGGATGGATTCCATCCATCTGGACCCCCGGTGCATATTTTCGAAAGGTTTAGGACCATAGTTGGAGCAAAATGAAGATTCGGGTAAAATCTGCAAAAATTGAAAAAGTTTAGGACCGCTGCTGCAATTTTCCCTATCTTTATTAATATCTATTCATTTAAACACGGTATACTCAATGTCTGCCAAACAAAGTAATTTTGACACTCCACATAGGAGAGCGTGTGCATCCTCCATGGCACCTCCTGACCCGTTGCCATCACGTCCTCCTGTGCTTGAATACATACACCGTTCATCACTACTAGTGTCACTACCTCTAGCAATTCTCCCAACTCTCATAATTGCATGGGCCGGAATCGTAATGGGTGTGTGTGTGAATCACATAATTAACTCAAAGTCAAAAGACTGTACTCTATTTAATTAATCGAGTATTATCACCAGCTACATATTAAGCTCCATTTGATATGCTTTAAAATTTTAAATTGTTTACTGCAATATTATTCTCCACTACACATTTACATAATAAAATATTCTATACACAAATCAATAAAGTTTCATTACTTTGTAACCACACATTCTTCAAAAAATACTATTCAAAAATCTTTAATTTTCAAATAATGGATGACAAGAAAGGACCTAAAAGCATCTTCAAAAAATTCTATATTTTTAAATGAGTTTTGCTCCTGTAAAGGGTAGGCTGACTGCCTCCCTGACAGAAGCCCCACAAAAGGGGGTGGGACCCGCAAAATAAAATGGACCCGGCTATTTGTGGGGTTCGATCAGGGGGCAGTCAGCCCCCTGTTCCTGTAGCAAGACTCTTTTTAAATAGCATGTTATACAATTTATAGAGTTTTTATAAATTTGAGTAAAATAATTTTAGAGTTTGTTTGGTACAGCTATTAATTTAATTAAAATTAATTTTTTGACTATTATTTCACTATTTTAGACGTCATTTTTGAATTCTTCTTTCACAAATAGGACCCACTTTATCTATAACAGTCAAAAAATCAATTATCAAAATCCCTCACAAACAAGCACTTAAATACTTCCCTCCAAAATATTATATTATTTCTGTTACGTGTTGTCATACTTGGCCAACCGACGTGGGCCTATGGCCCACTCAATTCGAACCATGTGGCACTTTAGCCGAAATGGGTTGAATGGCCGAGGCTCATATGCCGAAGCTAGTGAAACTAATCGAGCCTCATCTGCCGAGGCATGTGAAGATTGTTGAAACCCTACAGTGGAAGTACTACGTGTCTGGCAGAAGCCTCCGAACCATGAAGGGACGTCTTCCATGGTCACTTCTCCCAAGAGGTCTCCTACATAAGGATCTGGTTAGAATGATTGATGGAACATTTGTCATGAGTGCATATGTCAGATCTTATCACCAGTATGAGGGCTCTACACAAGCAATAAATGCGCAACAAGCTAGCAAGTCAAGAGTGATACCTAGGATTGGATATTTGAATTAAGAAGATGAGGCCACGTATCACCTCATCTAAGGGCTGACATTTCATATGTAACACTATGGATACTTCCATTATATAACATTGAAAGGCTAATGCAAGAATCAATATAAGAAGCCACATTTTACTCTCTTATTATCTTTACAATAAAATACGAGTTCACACACATTTACATTCACTTTCATGAGCACCGATTGGTAATTATTGTACAATCGGATTAAGAACGTCCCGTTGGATTCCAAATGTTCTCGTCCCGCGTCGTTGAACTACTCCCACGCCATTGATTCTTTCGTTCTAGACCGTCCACGAGTCTTAGCGTGTAGGACATTCGCTCACGTGTGCGCGGGTGGGTCCGACATCTGTTGGCAACACTTCTTGGGGTCAACAATTTCCTTCTTTTTTATATATATTATTTAATTTAGTCATTATATGGAGCATTAAAAACAAGAATATTTTGAATAAATTTAATTATAGAGAATATATTTGACTTTCGAAATTTAAAGATTCAAACACAATCTTTCTTTTAAAATATCAATTTAACGGGTCTCTTGAAATGTAATTTTAAGGGTCAATTCTTTAATATAGGAACAATACTACTTATATATAAGCAATTATATAATGATTTACATGCAAATGAGATGTCAAAAATAAAGTGATGAATTAATTTTTTTTATTTAATTGAAAAAATTCTGATTTGATCATATCTCATATCATGTGTATGTATACCATTATGTATAGGGTAATTGGCATAAAAAATGTCCCTATCTTTCAAGTTTATTGTGAAAAACGTCCACACCTTTCATTTTTTTGACATTTTTGCCCTTATTTCAACCTTTCGTTGCACTGAATGTCCTTTCCACTGTTTTAGAACGTAAAATGACAATTATACCCTTTTATTTAAAACAAAAAAAGAGAAAAATTCAGAACAAATTGCAATCCTGTCCCTAAACTTTTAAAAAAGTGCAAATGAGTCCCCAATACTTAAAATATTGAAAATAACCAAAAAAAAAAAAAAAACACTTTCTCTTCTCTTACTCCCCTTTCCACTGCCACCTTTCAAGCCAAAAAATTCCCACCAACCACCGGATCTCCATACCTTCGGAAAGCCCACACTCCCCTCTACGCATACCGCCCAATGGGTTTCCATTAATTTCATTCTAATAGCACAAATTCTCCTTCGCACAGGTTATGTTTCATTTCTCGATTTTTGAATGAATAACCATGTCCAGGCGACAATGGGGAAGACCTATATGCTCATTGGATGCGCCATGAGGTGTAGGTACCTTAGGTGGTGGTTCGCGATCATAGGTCCCACCACCGACGTTAAAAAAATCGCTTGAAAGCTGCACAGCGACTGTGTTTGAAGCTCAGCCGACTGGGTTTGATTGTGTGCATTAAAGGATGTTTGAGGACCATGGACAGGGACGTTTTAGTGTGTAGAATAGATCTGGAGGTTGTGTAGGTCATAAAAGTCGCCGAAAGTGAAGATTCCAGCCACTGTTTGTTGCGTGAGTAACCTATTTTGGCTTGATTTTCCAGGCAAAATGATTGGAGTTATTGTCGGATCTTGGGTGGGTTGCGAAGAGGAAAGTGAGGACTTTAAGGTGGTATGTTAGTCCGGCCAAAGCAGCGATTTCGTAGGGCATGGGTGTCGTTGGAAGTGAAGATTCCGATCACTGTTTGTTGCGTGGGTAAGCTATTTTGGCTTGAATTTTCGGCCAAATTGATTGGAGTTATAGCCGGATCTTGGGTGTGTTACTAAGAGGGATGTGTAGGCTTCAAGATGGTATGTTGGTCCTGTGCCCAAGGTGGCCGGAGGGTAGAGTTTTGGTGGTCCATAATTGGTGGTTCTAAAATCTTAGTTGTGATGGATTGAGGGAGTATTGGGGACTCAATTGCACTTTTTAAAAGTTTAGGGCTAGGGTTGCAATTTGTTTTGAATTTCTCTCCCTTTTTGTTTTAAATAAGAGGGTATAATTGTCATTTTACATTCCAAAACAATGAAAAGAACTTTCAACGCAACGAAAGGTTGAAATAAGGGCAAAAATGTCAAAAAATGAAAGTATAACCGTTTTCCACAATAAATTTGAAAGGTATGGATGTTTCGTACCAATTATCCTTATATACATGTAGTACAACCATTAAAATAGAGAGTATTTCACTTTTAAATAACCTCTTGGAGATGCTTTAAGAATTGAATTAATTTCTAATAAATAATGTTTGGGGGTGTTTGTGCCCCATTATTTGTGAGTAATATATTATAGAATAGTGATTGATGCTGAATGTGTGGTTAAAAAAGAAAAAAAAGTTTTTGATTTACAGTAATGTTATTTTAATGAAGAATGTGTGGCTGAAAATGAGTATTGTAGAAAAAATAATGTGGTAGAATATGAAAAAATAGTAGACAAACAAAGCCTGAATAAAAAATAAGAGGAAGTGAATCAAAAAAAAAAAATTTGGTCCTGTTTGATAGAGATTAAAATCAAATTTTTAGTGGATTTTAATAAAAATTGATGAAATGCATTGTTCAAATTTGAAAAATTGTGAATCTTATTAAATGTATTGTTAAAATTAACTGTTTACTTTAACTTAAATTTTAATAAGATTTTTCAGTGGTACCAAATAGAGAATGAGTTTATTTAAGTAAATTTAACAGATCTTTTGAAAGAAGGGATAGAAGACGGGGGAATGATTGTTAACTATACGAGAATTCGTATGATTCCTCCATTACACGTAGGTTTTCAATAATAAGCACTGCAAGAATGATGATAACTCTAAAAGGAATGATCTTGATCGTCAATCTACAGATAGTTTAGTAGCTTTCACCATACACGGGAAATTGCCTTATCTTATTACTAGTGACGGGCCGTGCGTTGCACGTGCAGTGGGTAATGCAGTGTAAGTAATAATGCTAGAATTCATTCTTGTGGTATCTTAATGGAAAAGAAGACATGATTAGAAGGATGATTACATTAGATTATATAAAATGTGTCCACAAGTAGTTACATTGGCAATAGTAATATGATGTACAAAACAAAGTTCTTAGGTGCCATACACAGAGATGTTACATGCCGTATTTGGGTACATGGTTTCTAATATGTTAATATGGACAATGAACAAAATTTAGTATGACAGATAGAGATGCTGGGAATCTGGTCTGTTGGATTGTGGACACAAGTGTGCAAAAGAAATACAAAATATGTATTTTCAGGTCTTCAACAGCTACTCTTACTTCTGTTTTTTATTTGCATGTTTGGGAGCTTCATGTGTAGTGCTTGGTTGTGTGGTGTTCGCAGGTAACTGGTTGTCATCTTGGAGGTGTGAGTCAAGGATGAAGATGACTTCATATGGTGCCTTGTTAGTGGTTGTCTCTATATTTCCAGCTTTGATGTATACGATGTGCTCACGTGGAGTTGTTGCTGGAATTGTAGAGCTGCTTTCCATATGTTCCTGTTGGAATGTTCATTAGAAGTAGTTAATAGTATATTTATTGGAGAGAAAATAGTAGGCAAAAAAATGAAATTTTGAGATAGTTACATTAGAACTTTGCTTCATCAATTCTGTTGCTGGGCATTTGAGGAATGTTTCAGCTGGTTTTCCAATAATTGATGCTGTCATTGAGCCTGTGTAGTCTTGTAACTGAACGATTGCTCTTGGTCTGTTAGAGTACAGGTGGAATCATTGTTAGTGTTTTGTGATGTATTTGATTATCATTAGATGATGAATAATGTATCTATTCATGTAAATGATGTACTTGTGACATGAATATATTCTGACCTTGGAGTCGGTGTAGTATAGTTGTGCTTGCAAAATCTACAAAAATAAGTTTCGTTTACAGCTACACTTGTAGATTTGTTGCAATTGTCACATGATAGATACCATAGTGGTTTGTCTATATCAGCCAATGTAACATTTACTCTTGTCCAGAAGTGTCGTTGCTGCAATGTGTACAGTAACATGCGTAAATATATAATGTTAGCGATAGTTATAAAATGTAAGTGAGAAGGTGTACCATATGTTGTAGCTGTTTGATGTTGACTAACTTTTCTTCTGGTGGGCAAGAAATTGTGGTGGATGTGGGGAAGATATAAGCTTTTCTTGTCACGATGTCATTTATTGTGATGATGTTCTCTTCTAGCCTGATGTTAGAATGAAATTGTTAGAAGTAAATAAGGAAATTATGAGTAATAATTACAATAGATACAAGTATATAAATGGAAAAATGAAAGAATGTACCAGTGCTTTAGTTCTACAACTTACTCAAATGGGGGATTAATGAGTATTGATGAGTTCATTTTTGTAGAGACAGATATTCCTAAATAGAGATTCAAATGAGGTTTTGTATTTAAGGTCTAAATTCATATGTTTCGGTGTGATTTTGTACAAGGAGGAGTCAATTTATCATTGACAGAAGTTACTCTTAATCTGTTGCTCACAACAATTGGTTTTGTGGTGATTGTGTTGTGGATGGTATTACATTCATTTGCAACGAAATTGTCCCACATCTGAAGCATGCGTGTTTGGAACCTATAATGTTTCAAATTGTATTTAATATGTAATAACTAAAAAGAGTTAATTTGGGGTTTGAAATAGTAAATGTGTGATAAAAGTAAATGTTTTACCTTTCGTTCATGAGAATGACATCTTGTATTGTTGATTGGTTGTCAAGAATTTGAATTACTCTTTTGGGGAAGATGTCGACTACTATTCCAATGATGCCTATAAGAAATAAGATGGGCTAGTAATGAGTATAGGTTGTAATTTATGTTTAAGATAGAAGTAATGAAGTGTAAGATGTTAATAGGATTGCAATTACTTACTGATTTCTGCATTTGTGTCCATGTAGCACTGAAGATTTTCGAATGATATGAAGTTGTAAGTTGATGAAAGGAGGGAGTTAAATTGTTCGTCGACTTCAACGATGTTGGTTTTTGCATTGATTGTCCATCGAATGTGACCAAGCGGGGCTCTATAGTATGTATTTGTTTCTTTAACTTGTGCATTTGAGATGAGGTATGTTTTGTGCAGTAGTAAGGTGCCTTCGAACGCTGTGATCGAGCTGTCGAATAACGTGGCCTGAACTTTGTTTCCTTGCATAAAAACTAAGTTAAATTGTGTTTTAGAAGGTAGGGGTAGAGAATAATTATAAGGGAAGGGACATTTTTTGGGATTTGGAAATGAGGATGTTGATCTTAAATAATATAGTGCACTTTTGTGGTTTGTGATATAATGTATATTTTATGATTGAATTAGGAACTCTAGCTTCAGTTTTTGGTGGTGGAATATGTATTATCCAGTGCCCGTTTCTATGAAGAATTTCTATAGTACTCGAAAAGAAAATGGAGGACAGATTATCAAGAATGAAAAAACTATTGCAGGCCCAAGTGATATGAGTTCACAAAAAATCTTGTACTTGGAGTTGTTAAGGAAGGTGTTACAAAAATTGTTAAAGAATCTTGATTATAAATCAGCTGGCTATTGTTTACATAAGCATTTTCATGGTCCAGACTGTTGAAAAATGTCAGAAAAGTATTATTGGCAGTAAGAAGAAATTAGATACTAAAGGTACGTTCCAACTAATGGAGTATTAAATGTTGGATAAACTTTTGTACTGCCATATTTTTTATTTTCATGTTTGTGTCAGGACAATTGGTGATAATTTAAATCTTTGACACGGTATATGACATGTAGTTGAAGATGCTCATTCTTGATTTGGTATGTATTTTTCAGGTGATTGCATTGTAGAATGATTAATTATGTCCATCAGTTCATGGTTAAAAACGTCTAGATTGCTTCTAGAGGTATGAGTTTCCTGAATATGCAGTTATTAAAGTTGCATGCATTTAAACCTGTGTTATCTGCTTTTAGTTAAGTTCCAAAATCTTTTTCAAAATTCATTGTGGATCAAAGTTTCAAATAAAGAAACTTAAATTATGTGAAGAGAGTTACCTTATGGTCCATTAACCAAATGTGTTGGTATTTCAATGGACTATTTCTAGCTTTGGTGGGAGAGCATTTTTCTGAAACTACTGCCTTTACAGTCCAGCTAGATTCTCCAGGTTTGATGTTAGGTATGAGTTTATATTCTGCCATCTATATCTGCAATTAGTTTTACAGGATCAGCAGAGGAGAATGGTTAGAAAAATGAAGAGTTAAAATGAAACATAACTATATGATAATGCTTGTGAAAATGTCTGCAGTAAATGTTGCTGTTCGGTGAAAGAATGGAAGTTACCAGGTTGATGTTAGAAATGAGGAAATGAAGCTAGAGAAGATGAAGTGGGTAAAGGTTTTATTTGGTGTCTTATATATTGAGAGATTGGATGCATAGTGGATAGAAATGATGAGAGTTTAGAATTAGTGGTGTAAAAGTCAGATTTCTGTTTTCAATATTGACTTGAAAATGGTTAGTGGGGGGCCAGAATTTTGTTTACTACTACAAGCAAATGTTTTTAGGGAATGGATGGGAGTAAGTGAGTTGCCAGGTATTGATGTGGTTTTTTTGCAGGGGACAAGTGTTGATTCAGTAGAATTAGTGGATTTTAGTGGAGAAAGAAAAATAAAAAGAAATAATTTTGCAGGGGATAGATGTTGATTCGGTAAAATTAGTGGGTTATAGTGAAGGAAGAAAAATGAAAAGAAATGGGTTTTGTTAATCCATGTAAGCAAATTATATGTCAATATTATTAATATGTATATTACTTCTGCCATACCTTCACCACTCGTTTGAGTTTTAAAATAAGGTTGCTAGGCATTACCAATGAGCCCTGAATTTTGTAAATTTTGTATCATTGCATCTACCCCAATCACCATAATAACAAAATACTTAACATAATATTACCATCCATGAATTGAACCTTGCAATTTTCTAACTTGAATCAAATAATCACAATAGAAGATAAAACTAAGATCGACAAGCATTTAGGAGTCAAACATTTGAATGATCAAAGTGTAAACAGAAGTAGGAGATTTGGTGGGAAAAAAAAAAAGAAAAATTACCAAAGGATCAGTCTAGAACGACGCAATCATCATCTGAATTTTCAGGTTGTAAAGTTCCTTCAATACCACTTTGATTGTCACCTAAGAGGTCACATGCTGCTCTCTTATGAAATCTTTGTGCAGTATGACGAACAGATTGCTTCTCAGATTACTGATATTTTCTCTTCTTATGGATACTTCTATCCATATATTTAATCCTTTGCCACCTCACCACGACTAATTTCCCTCATGCTTTTCTTCTACTCTGTAAAACCATGTAATTATTCAAAAGATAGCTAAATGGAAAGAAAATGATGCCCAAAAACAAATGACCACCTACCTGGTGAAAGGCTAGGCAAAGAATGCTCAATAAAGTGGGTTGCTGCCATGGGATTAATGGTGTCCGAAAGTCGCAGTGTCAAACAGAATCAGAGTCTCACTACAAATTGTGAATCTAACCTCAAGGCCTAAGACCTATTGGACAACATAAGCCAAGTACCATACAGAACAAAAGCAAACAAATAAAAGAAAGGCTACAATTTCATCCTAGTTGATGAAATTTACTGGTGCATTTTGCATCAACACTCTCAACTTAGGGATAGAAATTAGTTGTTTAATAAAAAATGATACAATAGCTTTGGAGTATTTACATCGTCATTTCCACGTAATTCAAATGAAATTTAAACGAAAAATTCTTAGACCGTTTCGAATACCAATTACTTCACTACCTAAAATCGCACAAACTCAAATGAGAAAATCACCACAAAATAAATCAAGGAATACTTACCAACTGCTTAGAAGATGATTCAGGTTCGCTATCAGACTCCTCCTCAGATGCATACTCATCGTATGCGAACCTACCATAGCCCAAATTTGCTGATATAAAAATGGCAGAGAAGAAGAAGGGCTATTTCTTCTATGCCTCAATACAACAGAAGAAGAAGGCGTCGAAGCATAGCAAGTAAAACAAAACACCTTAAATCGAATAGGAAAATTAGCATAATTTTGTGGGTACAAATTATGAAAAGCCCGGTTCAATTTTAGAGTGTTTATATGTGAGAAACTGGTCCTAGACATGGCTCTGAGATTTAGTTTTAAATGTTCTCAACTAATTTCCGAAGGTGTGGTTGCTTCAACAAACTTATTTGACACAAAACAACAAAAGATACTCTTGAGAGAGAGCGTCAATAAATGTGAAGGAAATAAGTGTTGGCTAGGAATATGTTCATATCAACAAAAATGACTTGTAACTGGAATATGTAGCATGTAATTTTAAAAATAAAAATTAAAAAAAAAAATAAAAATTAACGCAGGAAAACTGAACAAATATGTCAACATTAATGACCTAACATATAGTACTCAAAGCATGGTATGATATTTTCATAGCAGAAAACAAGAGAAAGGACCAACAAATAGATAGACTCATCACATGATATCTCCCATCTGGATTATTAGGTGATGTTAGGAATATGCACTTACGTCTCTCCTGCTCAACAACCTCTGCAATCTGTTCTACATCCAAGCTGAAGTCTGATTTTTGAGACACTGCCAAAAGTGAGGATATTGAATGAGAATGAAATTGTTAGGGTCAAGTTGACGCCCTAAAATTATCAGATAAGTAATAGCAGCTCACACATATTTGAACTAATAAACACCTCAAATCAAGTTTTTTATACATCTAGATTATAATAAACACAAAAGCTTCACAATAAGTAGATGTTCAACTTACTTGCTTAAGACCAATTTGCCTTAGAAAAGTGCAAACCATAAGCTATAAACACAAGTACAACTTTCTTCCCATAATAACTCTTCAATTACCCGAAGAAAGAGTAAAAACATAGATTTTCCAGTAACTATGAAGAGAAATACAGGAGACAACAACACAAATCTAGGCATGTTCACACTCATCAAAACCAATTAAGATTTTCTTTTGTTCCCTCATGTTGAGAATAGAGTATAACGGGAAAGTGAAATGGAACTCAATGTTATCACATTTGTTTATAGAAGAAAGCTACGTCAAACATCTATAGTAAACATCAAGCCCAATGTTAGCAGAAATATGATTCTATCCATGAACTATAAACCCTCAATTTCGCAATGTTTATGATTAAAACATCCCTAAACGTAAGTATGAGATTACTCTATCCAACATCGAGAAAAAAATGGTCCCTTACCTACTTAAAGACATTCACTAATTATTCATATTCGACAAACAATAAACCTCATTATTTACATCAATAAAATATATATAAGCCTCAAAGAATTAAATTCGAACCAACTATTTATTTAAGAATCGAAAATTTAAGTAAAACCCTTAGCGTTAAATCAATTTTTTTCCTCATAGCATCAGAATCCAATTAATTATCAACAGTTACTGGTGAAATATCAAAACTTTTTGGAGATGAAAAATTCTTAGCCACAACCAGGTCGGAGGCCCAGTTGGCAAGTTCTCTTTCCCAAAAACATACCGAATCTCTCAAATACAAAAAATTCATTTTTCACCACATTGCCCTCTCGTTCCTCATTGAAGACATCCCAAATTATCATAATAAAAACAAATAAACAACAAACTTGCATGCAAAGCGTACAGATCAATCAAGCTTTGAAGGAAAATGCACGAAATATGTTTTACCCAATTAATAAATATCCACAAATAGAGCAAAAAACAAAAATCAATAGAATATATAAATAAAATCAATTTTTTTTGTATAAAAACTAAATAGGTTATGATCTACAAAGCAACAAACAACAAATCAAGGGCACAATAAAAAATTCACAAAACCCAACGAAGGGGTTGGATTAATAAAGTAAAAATAATATAGTATGAATGAAGAATTTTAGCTTTCGTGGTCAGTAAAGCAAAACACCAATGATTTAGAGAAAGTCAACAATTTATGCTCTATAAAAAATGAGCAATACATACCTTTCAATGTGTAGAAACTAAAATTGCTCATGTACTCAGCCAAATCCCCATTCGATAAGTAGATTTGAATTTTCAGAGATATAGAAGTAGTCACGATATTGTCGATTGAATTTCGGAGCTACAATTTTGGTCAGTGGAAGAAATGAAGAGGAATAATGATCACAATCTAAGTCAATCACAGTTTTTAGAAACTTGTAACAACAATTCACAGAGCAACACAGATAAAATCATCACTGATTATATTAAGTTAAAGCAAAAAATGGCTTGGTTCTAAGATATGCGTGCATTCTAAAAATTTAAAATTCCAAAAATATGTAGTTGGAATTCGTTGTTGTCAGTACTCCGATAATAATAAAATTATGTGTAGTTTTTAATATATTTCATGGAAAAATAGTATAGTAATACAATTCATTACCAGTAAAAAAGGAAAAAATAACAAAAGAGGAAGATTGAAAGACAAGTACAAAAAGCAAATATTAAAAATTTTGAGACTTAGCATTTACGTATTGAAGTTGAGAGGACTTATTCCAGAGTCGAAAAAAATACCATGGGGCGAGAAAAAAGGATTTCATAATTGTAGACTATCGGTTCCAAAGCTCAATTCTGAGAAAACTTACAAATGTCTTCAGCAAACTGTTACTTCAAATCTATAGACATTACAGTTGCAAATTTGTAAACTGGCCTTGGTAATTATATCTTATCCACGTGTAAAAAAACTCCATTCAAAGTTCAGGAGAGCGAATTTCAGGGCCCATAAGTCTTAAATCCATTAAAGCATATAGCAGCCTAACCATGAAAGTACAAGAATATCCAGTTTGCTATCAATAATTTAAGCACATGTTATCACACGACATCCACAATGTCAGTTCACCATCGACGATTATTAGCACAGGTTGTTCCATTGTGTATACTATTTGATGGTTGTGCCTTATTTAGTCAAACAAAAAAATTATATCTAACCTCAATTGGGGGATAACTTACATATACAATTAAAGCATGTGCGTATTACTTGCAGAATTTGTATTAGTGTCCACATTGGACATAGAAGTGATCTCATCATGGCTGTCAAAGAATTGATCTTCTTCTGTTTCATCGCAACCAATCATCTTTGTTGAATTCAAGTTTAAGCATACATAAACCTACATTTAAAACCAACACATACATTATTTTTCAGTTTTACATCTGACCAATTTAGATTATAAAAAAAATACTTTATGGTTTAACAAACAATAATTAATCAAACGGAACATAACAGAGGATAATCATTAAACTATCAAACCCCTGAACAAGATTAAATATGTGGCCACTCATGCTTCAAGATGTGTACATGAAGGAATAGAAGCATAAGCAAGATGGCATATAAGGAAAAGCCCAGGCAGCGGGGTTCTTTTGAAACATGAAGCACGTGCATAGAAAGCAAAACTGCTATTATTATTGGTGAACATGATTCAAATTTCAACGATTAGATAGTATAACCTGAACTAATATAATATCTACTTTGTTGAGATACAGTTTCTCTTGCCAGAAAGAGATCTCGTTGCTTGAAAGCTAAGGTCATTAAATGAAACAGTGAGTATTAGTCAGGCTCTTGAACTAAGAAGCTGCTGGAAGCATATGCGAACAAAATTTTCCTTAAAATAGCGTGATTAAATTACCTCAACTATAACTTCAGAAATATAGTTTTTCATGCTGTTTCTTTGTTTTATAGGTAAAGTATTCAATTTATACTTGACAACACCTTCTAGAACCTGTATGTGGGCAAGTGGCCCCTATCTTCATTTTTCTAACAATTTTAAAGCAATGAGCACAAGATATTCACATCCAATAGAGAGCAAGGTCAAACCCCAAAAAGATTACAATGCTCATGATGACTTGAAGGATGTATATGTTTTGCTTTAAAAAAATTAAAAAAAAAACTATGAACAGATAGAATTCCCGAAAATAATCGCAAAACTCAAAAACATAATTTGGCTAGGATAATATATGTTATTATTTATATCCAATAATACACTTAATCAATTACAGATGTCTCCTTCTAAACACAGATTTTGGAATTCAAAGAGATGAACTTTTAAGTTATATTCGCCACCTTTAACAGTATTTGTATTATGATGCTCAAAGAGTCTAACAGATCTTTTTTCGACTTGCTCCATAGTTCTGTCAGATGCAGGCTTTTAGCAGGAATATATTGTGAAACAAAAGTACAATCATTCTTTGATGTAGCTTACAGAAAGTAATATGAGTTGGAAGTTAAAACCAAAATTTACTATGTTTGACTTCTCACCTAATTGAAAACAAGGGCAGATAAGCAAGGAGAGTCTGACAAGTTCAAATGTAAAAGACTACTTATATAAATATCATGAGTGAGATTGACCTACAAAACAAAAAATTTAGTATTCAAGTTTTGTGTATTTGATAGAATGTGAACCACTTGATTTCTACTGAGATCACACAGCCTTAAATGATAAACTGGTCATGTTACTTTTTTTCCCCTTAATTTACCTTTCTGAGATTCACTTTGTTTGTGCTCAGATTAGTAGGTCCGAGGTTTTCAAGAAGCCATGCGTGATCAAACATTTATGACAAAAAATGTATAGATCTAATGTCACATTCAGTAAAGATTTATGATACATGTTTAGGATGTAAATTACAGGGAAAATTCATAAAGATCAAATTTTAAAAGAGAAATGTATAGATAAAGTGAAAAATGAGTACATGAAGCCATCGTTGGTCTCATCCCTTTTAAATACCAAAAATCTAACATAAAAGTGAACGAAGGCATTGACAGCAACAAATGACGAATTACCAAGTGAATTAAATGGCCAAGAAGGAATTTATCTTGCTTCAATAACTTACGCTATATGAATACATGAACAAATAGGTAGTACAACAAGTGTATTATCTCAGTGGGTGAACCTAATACTAAGTTAACTAAACAGCTAAGAACAAAATTATCAATGTTCATTAACTCACACTAAACAATGATGATTTATATATGTTTTTGAAAAAAGATGTTAGAAAGAACTCTGTAGCATAAGAAGCATACCATCTCATGATCATATTTGTCTTGATGTTTACCAAAAATATTGTCAGTGTGATCCATTTTCTTAACGTTGTTTGGAAACAATTTCCTGTGGAGCAAGTAGAAGGATTACCAAGTGTAGTGACCAAAAGGAGCACAATTTTAAAATAAAATGGAACAAAAAGAATGAGCAAATAATAAGCAAGGAGTACTTTACAGGGTTCTCTATTGCGGTCAAATTTTACAGAGAAGAATATAATTTTCTCTCAAATTTCAGTTACAGCCAAATGAAAATGACAATGCTAAAATATGTTTTGTAATGATAATTGGCAAATGTAAATGAGAACATAATGTCATGTATTTACCATTGCTAAAATTTCATCGTAAACAACATTTTTTGTACATTTCATATGTAATTTTTGGGGGGTTGTTGGTTTGATGAGAACTTTAATGCATGCGCTACTTTTGGCTCGAGACAAAGCAACATATAATTGGCCGTGCGAAAATACTGGCTCAGGAAGATATAAACTAACGAAATCAAGTGTTTGTCCTTGAGATTTATTAATTGTCATTGCAAAATATGGATGAATTGGAAATTGTGTTCTTTTGAAAGGGAAAGGATTTTTGTCGCTTTGAAGTGGAATAAAAGGTATCCTAGGAAGAAATACCTTTTTTCCTTTATAATCTCCAACTGCAATTCAGCATCTATAATATTTCTTCGGAAACTTTTACATAGAAGCCTAGTTCCATTACAGAGACCTTTTGAAGGATTAATGTTTCTAAGTAACATGATAGGACAATTTGGTTTTAGTATTAGTTCATGCAGGGGTACACCATTCGGAGTCAAACTATTTAAAAAGTCTTCCTGCATACTTTGGTCAGTTGTATCAATAGCTTCATCAAAACTAAAATAAATGAAAGAGTCTCCAGGAAAGTGACTAATCAACAAATTATTGATTTCATCAACATATTCATTTTTTGGAGTTAAAATATATCTGTTAATCACGATTGTCAACATAATGATCTAAATTTGGGTAAACTATATCTATTAATGACTGTAAAGAAGTGATGTGTTCTTCGAAATCTATAGTTATGTCAAGCGGAAGTTGTACCATATTATATGAATGTTTTTCTGTGATTCCATCTCCAATATCAAGTAAATATTTACAAAACGATGTATCTAATTGCGCTCTCATATTTTCACTTAATCTTAGTTTTGTAAATAAAGGCCATAAGTAAGAGTTAACAAGACTTACTCCTATTACATCGTCTTTATTACCTTTTTGAACTACAGGTAGAACTTGACGAAAATCCTCTCCTAAGACAACAACTTTACCTCCGAATGGGAATTCACAATCATTAACATCTCTTAACATTTTATCTAATGCTTCAACTACATATCGATTCACCGTTGGAGCTTCATCCCATATGATTAGTTTTGTCATTCGTAAAAGTTCTGCAAGAGCACTCTATTTACTAATGTTACATATTGTACAAATTTCTAGAGGTATTTTAAATTTAGAATGTGCTGTTTGTCCACCAGGCAAAAGACCAGCTACAACACCAGAAGATGCTGTTGCTAAAGCAATCATTTGTCTTGACCTCACAGTACCTAGTAATGCACGATATAAAGAGGTTTTACCCGTTCCACCAGGACCATCAATAAAGAACATGCCGCTAACATTAGTGTCTACTTAATTTAGAATTGCATTATATGCCGTCTTTTGTTCAGTATTAAGTTGATGGGGATACATAATATCTATTTCTGACACATTAATGCTTAGTTCATCATTTATTACTCTAGCGACGTGTTCATTTTCATATAGATGTACATTATATGATGCAAAACCGTAGCTATTAATGGATTTACCAGAAAGTTCTAAAATTACATCAATTTCCAAAAGAGCTTTAAGTTCAGCAATTTGCAGCGACATACCAGCACGTATGAAATCCTCAATCATAAAAATTTTGAATTTGTTCCATAGATTTTTTGGATCATTCGGAGCACATAGAGTTAGAATTGTTGTAAAAAGACGATGAAATGGAGTAGGCATTTGATACTCTAAAGCTTCCTGCGAACATAAATCACAATTAGTGTCTCCATTAAGTAAACCATGTAAAAGTGCCGCTTCTCGAATAGACGATGTTTCAACACCATTTACAATTTTTAAAGCTCGATATGACGTTGCGCCTCTAATATGATTTAACAAAAGACGCAAGTAATATCTTTCCCCTTCACTTGGACTTGCTGCAACTACTCTATCGATACAAACACCTTGTTTTCTAGGACTCCAACATTTACGATGTGAGTCCCAAACAAAAAATTCTGGAAATTGTTTATATAAAAGAGTTGTAGCTTTTTTGTCAACAAGATTCATGGGGAAAAATTCCGTTAACATAGTTTTTTTGAAAAAGTCGGTACTTACAATTTTCTCAAGATTGTCAGAACTTTTGTATGTAACGAAATTATTATTTTCGAGGTGTAATTGAAGAGTAACAACTGGAGAATTTATTTTTGAAAGAATGAAACCAAAAATTCTCCATAATGCTTCAAGAGGAGAAATCCATCTAGCTGTTTGAAAATTTTTAATCTCATCAACCACATGTTCTTCAGAATGTACTGAGAAACCAATTCTATCATGTCCCTTGTATACATATTTATACAAATATTTCACAGCTTTGATGGTTGAACAAATCTCTACATTTATATGGCAATTAAATTTAGCCAAGAGATATGGATTGTAAGGTACAATCCATCTGTTATCTAACCATTGTCCTCTAACTTTCACTTTCCTCCCATTATTTAAACGTCTATACTTTGGGTATGAAAATTCGCCTAAGAACGTCTCTGGGGTATAATCCTTTGGGAAATGGCTTCTACATTGTTTATTTCTATTCATGCATACATTTGTTGGATTTAAAATGCCACAAGGACCATGTATCATGTGAGAAACAACAGCAGAGTATAAATGAGGGTAAGTTTGTCTGTCTCGAATCTCAGCACCCACAAATTTATCTATAGATTCAGGAGCAATGATTTTGGATGCGTGATCTAAAATGATTAAAAAATGAGCATGTGGTAAACCTCTTTTTTGGAATTCTATGACATATATATATGCAGCTGCAGAACCAAAAATTTTATTTTTGAATATATCAGTTCTTAGTTCTTCTAACTTAGATCTAAAAATTCGAGTTAAAAGATCAAGTCTATTTTGTGATTCGTCATTATACCTTAATTGGTCTTTTATTTCAGGCCAATTTGGATTACAAGTAATAGTTAAGAAAATATTTGGTTTACCAAATTTTTGAAATAATGCCATTCCATCCATATATCTTTTGTTCATGTCCCTTGGACCACCAGTAAAAGATGACGGCAGAATAATTCTTTTACCAGTCATAGCTGCTCGAGTTTCACCGGACTTGACACAATCTGTAATCCCTTGGTAAAGCTCAGTGCGTATTTCATTTTGATTGTTACGAAAATAATCTAATCTAGACGTTTCAATCTTCACATACATATCTACAACATATTGTTGTAACAAACGTCCAGCATGAAGTAAAATTGACTTATGTGAAGGTCTAACCTGTAATTTGTAGGAATAGTATTCTTTACATGATACCTGAGCTCTTGTTGTCTTCTTTTGCACAACTGGAAAAAGCATAGAACAAGAAAATGTGTTACAATATGGAATTTTAAACATTTTAAAAATAAATGTACTAAGCATAAATAAATTATTCACCTGCATTTTCCACTGCAAAAATTTCTACAGCAGAATTTAATTGATGAATGTCAAATAAATTTTCATTTGCACATGTTTGTTGTCTTCTGCGTTTGTCAATTCTAACAATACATTGATGCCAACCAGTTTCGCCAAAAGGAAACAATAAGGGGTATTGAAGAGGATCATAACAACCAGAATAATAATGTAATTGATGTTTTTTTCTATAATTGCAAGAAACAGTTATATCACGCACTCGTTCATTAGTAGTAGAATCATCATCAACCCAAATAGCAGCTACTTGATATGCACATGGTGTGTTATATACTATTTGATCTAATCCACAATCAGATCTAATTTTAAGACTATGAGATTTCAAATTTGGAATATTTGTTAAAGTTCGAAAAAAAATTGCGTATGGATTCAATTCCATCACTTTGACAAGCTTTGAAAGTATACATTTTGTTAACTTTTCAGAAAGTTGTAGTTGATGCTCTATTTCATTTTCAGTGTCAAAAAAATAGAGCTGCATATAAGAAGGGCGACCGTTTTGTACAAGAACGTCATTTATAAAATGATATATTTGACCTTGAATTCTAAAGGTGTAGATTCCTTTGTTTCTTTTGCACTAATCTTTATCATAATGCACACCAAATGAAGTGAATGAGAAATTGCTATTGTAAGTTCGTACGTAAGTTTTAAATTCAATGGATTCAGCAGAATTTGATGTAAATAAATGATGTAATTCATCTGGGGTATCATTCACTTTCAATCTAACAGCTCCATCACAACAATAAAAACCTTTCGGTTCATCTTTAAATTTTAGAGCCCCACAATATTCACATAGCACAGGGCAAGGTAATACATGTGATTTGTTTGGTATCGAAAACGAACCTTCATTTACTGTAAATATTGATGGCATTAGCTCTGAATGAACATGAAGCTGATGGGTATAAGTCGCAAAACAGCTACCTATCACGGAAACCACATTAGAATCTAAAAAAGACATATCCCTTTAAAAAAATGTAAAACATGGTTATAAATTCAATTTTTAACAAAACAAATATATCAAATAAACTTATTTCGTCCAACATCAATGTTACAAACTTCATTACAACAAAGACTATTGAATATGAAAACATTCCCTATATAATTATACATAATACAAATCAAATATGACAAAGTAATCATATTCAACTATCTAAGGAATACGTGATCTTTTTACTGCTAAAAACAATATGTAATTAATACAAATAAGTGAAATATCTTATTACCTACTTGATTGTCTTCAATTTCACAATTAGGAAAGAGAGAAATTGAATCTGAATCGATGACACCAGCAGCTGTGAAATTTTAATTTTGCAAAACCATTTCAAATGTTAAAGCCACACGGAATAGAAAAAATAATAAATCAATATTGTATGAAACTTGTGTAGAAAAAAAAGTAAAATCTCTAACAAAAATCTACAATTTTAAATGTTAAACATCATATGGTACAATTTTTTATAAAGAAGCTAACCTTAAAAATAAAGAAAGAAAAGAGAAAAAATATTTTCATTCAAAATATCCCTTTTTTTGTCAGAATGAAGTATATAGAACAAATATTATAAATGTAGTATTGAAGTATAATAGTTTATATGCTTAGTTATGAAAATAAAAAAGTTAAAAAAAAAAAAAAAAAAGTCCACATGAATAGAAAAATAGGCACAAGTCATAAGAGAAGGCAAAAATAACATCCAGAATATATTACAAATATGTTTCCTCTTGTAGTTAGATGTAGATACCTTCCAATTGGACAAAACGTTGAGACTTTCTCTTCGGCGTCTGTATGTCAATATCCAATTTCGCACTGTCATTGTACACTTCTCTTCATCTTTTATTTTTCTTAGACATCGAAGCCATTTTTATACCTATACTCAAAACATACATTTCCTCTGTATATTCGATATAAATAAACATAGTTTGATATTATAGAAAAAGTTCAAAAGAATTTTGACATACGTAGAAACGAATAAACAAACACGCTAAATAATTTAATTGGTATATTAATTATTTTTTCTCATTGTGGCACATTTTTGTGCCTAAAGACAATTCGTATAATACAAAGGCAAGATCTTTCTCTCTCTGTCTTCCTCACATTGTTGCACATTAATAGACGGAAGTCGACACATTTTTATTTGCAATCCTTCTTCTATTTTTTGGGTATATACATGTCTTATGGTCATTCAATTTTGTTCGTAACCTAAGATGATCTTGACGAAGCGTAAATTATAATCTAAGCCAAAAAAAAAAAAATACTATTGTCTAAACATTTCGTAGGACAGAACATACAATTTACTAACCACTTATTATTCACACATTTCATCGGACCCGAAGCTTATAAGTATTACCAAACAAGCATAGCATGCAACTTATGAATATAGTAAGCAAAAAGAGTTCCTGACACAACCAAAAAAAAAAAAAATTACATTGTAAGAGATTATCAATTGATGTTGAAGAACTATGGTACAACAAAACAAACGACAAATTCAAATCCGCAATTGTATTTGCTATGTGGAAATGGGCTCATAGTTTTCGATTATTTTTCAGCTCCCAAATGCAGTGTTCTAATATTGAATGGGTAAATTGTCTTGATGCTTACTCCCCAGATTTTCTTTAGTCAATTTACAAGATTTCAACATAAGAATAATGAGTGGTTTAGGTGTCAAAATACTCAATAATAATACTTAACCATTAGAATTTTTTGCCAATATAAAAGACAATAAAAGGCTAATATTCTCTACATTATAATGTTATACCCGAGGTCCCTTAATCAATAAAACATAAAAACCAGGAATCGGAAAAGGGAAACGACAATACCTAATGATGCCACCACTAACTATTCCACAAACAGAATGATCCCAATTAATTAGTAAAAAAATTCTTTCTTTTAAGCTGAGCCATATATAGAATAATTACTAAATTCAGTAACACTAAACTGTAAGCAAAATTTGAAAAGGAAGGGAGAAAAATCCAAACCTCGCTTTTAGAATGACCTTAATAGCAACCTCGGGTCCTATAAATTTCCTCTTCCTAAGCTTGGTCCGGTAAGTAAACCAAAAAATAAAAAGGGGTACGTTCCAAATCCTTTTTCACTTGATGCAACGCTAATTAGATTATCCTCATTTCTTTTCTCTACAACTTCAGCGTTATCATCTTCAATGAATAATGAAACATATTTCTCTGTATTTGGAAAAAAAAATTGCAATTTATTACAAGTCGATGAGTAATGAAACATATTTCTCTGTATTTGGAAAAAAAAACTGCAATTTATTACAAGAAAGTAAAACTTTTTATGAACCCTTTGTAAATCTCTATTTTTTTATTTTTAATTTGCACATATCTTTGTCTCCTTATAGAACAATTTCATAATTTTGAGCTGTTTCATACAGATTGAGGTATTTCATAAAATTAATTTTATCAATTTGAGAATTATTAGTGAGGCCACGGATCTTTGCAAGCAATTTGGACAGCTTTCAGATGTAAGCGTGTTTTTCTAAGTGTTAAAAATTTTTCTTTGTGCATGTAGTTCCAAATTATGAATTTATATGCATATTTGTAGTGTGCACACGAGGCTTCCTAAAATATTTCGAAAAAAAAAAAGAAAAGTTAAAAATGAAGCAAGAAATAACCTTAAACTGAAGCAAATACTAAATCCATATACCTCAGCTTGCCAATTTCCTATTTTGGTGCGAATTTTCTAGTTTTTGGGAGATTCCACCCATTAAAAAAATAAAATTGTACGCACACAAAGAAGGAAAAGAATATTTAGTTGAAAATATCCAAGACTTGAAGGCAAAATAATGAGAAATCGAAAGGCACTACAATTATTTCAAAAGAAGAAAAAACCCTAAATTGAAGCAAATCTAGAATCGACATACCTTACGATTTTAGGGTATAAATACAAGAGCGTGCAACAAATTGCAGCAAGATGAAGAAACACAGCAAATCGCAAGAAGATGAAGACTTAGCATTGTAGTCACCGATAGAAGATGAAGACTCGGTGTTGTAGTCATCGATTGGATTCTCCCTTTTCTTTGGTCTCTTTTCTACAATCGACAGAGAAACTGAAGGTTAGCAGACTGCAATAGCCAGAGATATTTTTCATATGCAAAGACCATTAAGCCCTCAACTTCTAAATAAAGCCCTCAATTTGTGAATTAGTGTAAAGTAGGATTGAAGGGTAAAATTGAAAATCGCTATTAATGACACCTCCCACCCATTATAGGAATGGCTCAACTGATCAACAATGAGCCGCTTAAAATTTCGTCTCGTGGTGTAGTGGTAAAATCTGGCTTATGAGCCAGCCAATGAATTGTGGCTTGTAATTATGGCTTGTGAACAGTACCACTCCATTGCCTCTTTTAATTTGTAGTTAGAAAGGAAAAGGACGAACTCGCTTTCACTAGGCACCAAGGCTTCTATCACACCTAACTTCCTCGAGCCTAGCTAAGAAAGGAAAGTTTGTTCAATTCTAGCTTTTAGAACACAAGAAAAGACTATAGCTACATAATGTTAAATATGTAATATAGATAATTTTAAGGGATGTTATATTCACACACGACACACACACATATGAATCAAAACAATATTTTAAATAGTGATTTTTTGACTTTACATACAAAATATTTTATTTTGTGAATGTATGAATGAAAATGAGTACATAGAAAAAAGAATTTTCAAATAATAGTTATCAATCAGGGACTAAAGCTTGTTAACTTTTATTCATTACCACACCTATGTCTTTAACATTTTTCTTCTTCTCATTCTTATTTTTAACGTTTCATTAATCAAAAATATTTTCCTTAATTGTTTTTCATCCAAAAATAATGTTAAAGTGTTTTAAAACGATGGTCAAATATTTAATCACATTTTTGCAGTATCATTTCTTTTACTTATTAAAAAAACAAATTAGTCTTTTTACTCTATCCTAAAGAAAATTTTGGAGAGAAACTATAATTAAGAACAATTTATGTTAATTTGAGAACAAAAATTCAAAACAAAAAGAGGCAAGTTTGGGACATAAATGAAATGACCTGTAAAAGTTATGAACACTTCATACAATTAAATGCAATCTAGTTATTAAAAATCGTAGTGTGAATATATTTAGCTATTTTTTAAAAGTTAATAGATTTATTAGAATAATGAATAAAAATTGTGGTTCCTTTTTTTTTTTCATATTGAGTTTAGCAAATTTATGCATACATTCAACACAGTGAAATTTTTTGAAAAATCGATTATGGTATTTTTTTTTTTTTTAAAGGAGTAATTAATGAGATAATGAGTTATCAAAACTAGCACGTGCGATGATGTAATCCGAAAATAAAAGATGCACGTACAGTCAAATTTTCCATGGATTTTAAAGGTAAAGATTCGATTTTATGCCTCAATTGTCAACTTCAGGATAACGTATGGTCTTAAAATAATATTAACTTTATGTCAAATGTTGACATCAAGTATATGAAAATGGTCAAAATTGGCTCTACACATTTGACTCCAAGCTAACCCGCAATCACTCCATTTAAAAAATAAAATAAAATAAAATTATATGCATTATATTAATTTTATACTCTCTATCTGCAATTTATTCTTAATTTATTTTATTTATTATTATTATTTTTTTTTTTTGCTTATTGACCTTTAATAATAGGTGTAAATGATTCTTATTTGCCGTATCCTTCCAAATAGCCATTGAGTAGATATGAAGAGACAAAATTAACCTCGACGTCAAATAAGAGAAAAATAAATAATTTGACACTAAAATCTACATTATCTTATAATTATAGTATTATTGATCTCCATAAATTATACATTTAGGACGTAACATTCTCTTATGTGGATAAAATTCAAAAGTTTGATCCATAAAGTGATAAAGGGATTTAAAGTCGTAGAGGTTTATGGGTATGTGACTCTTAGATAAAGGGATGTCAATTTGTATCATCATTATTGAACACATTATTAGATTGAATGTCGTTTTTATTATTTTCTTTTTTATTTTTTCCTTTTGATTAGTGGAGGGAGCCATCATTCTCTTCCGGATGTTTGTCACAATGGAAACCATTTTAACTTTCATATTACTTTTTATAAAGTATTTGGCAAACAATAATGTAATTAGATTAATGACGAGAATGTCACAATTACAAAAGTGATAGTCGAAATTAAAACATGAAAATTATTTATCTTCAAAGCTAAATTTTTTTATTCTTGTTCTTGGAATATAAGTGAAACAATAAATCTATTCGTACATCCGAATAGATTTTGGGCCACCCTCTTGTGAGTGGAGTGTCATCCCGGGTGTCAATCTCGGATGTATAAATAGCAAAGTCCCGAAAAGGCAAGACTCTAGTCATAGTTTGAAGATTTTCACTATGGATCTTTAATCTTTTTACTGAGGTAGTGGTTAAAATAAAAAAAGAAATATACTGATATGAAAGGAACTTTTGGTTAGTTTCGAATTTTTGGCTACTAAATCCATTTGGCATCGCTTTTAATTTTGGAATGAGAATTGCGAATGATATTTTATTTTGGTGCATTTACTTTCTTTTCTAATCTATTCTCATTTATTTTTTGTTAAAGGTATAAATAATTTGAATTTATATTTTTATGTTCGAAATCTACTTAAATATGAGGGCTGGACTATCCTAAAGAGTTTGATATTTGTAATTTTGAGCTCGAAATCCACTAAGCCCCTACTTGATCTTCATTCTCCAAAAAATTATTTTTCTTTAAACTCATTTGACCACACATTCTTCCAATAAAATAATTTTACATGTAAATCCAAAATTTTTCATTACCTTTTAATTACACATTCTCCAAAAAAATCATTATTACAAAAACGATTTTATTTATTTATTTATTTTCATTTTTTTTTTGTGAAAATGAGGCTCAAAGAACTCCTAAATCTGTTAAATACTTCATATTAATCCTTAAAAATGTCTAATAAGTCATTGGGGAACTTTTAAAAGTCTATTAGAATCATGGTTGAGGACACAAATATTGGTAAATCCTATTAAAATTTGAAATGAAGACACTTAAAATTCATTTAATATTCGTGAAAATTTATAAATTTAGTAATGAATCTTACGAGACATTTGAAAATTTAGTATTAGTATAAATGTATAATTCAAAATTAATATTTAATGTTGACTGAATTTATGAATCGACTTTAAGAAATTAGCGGCCTGTAATGGATGGATCTCCCAATAAAAGTATGATCTTGACAGTAAAGTGAGTCAAGAATGACATAATTGACGGATCTCCAAAACAAGAAAATTAATGTTCAAAAAGTGAAAATGGGGGAATAGTATTTTTTAGAAAAATGAGTGGTTAAAAAGGAAGAAAAAATTTTCGATTTACGTATAATATTATTTTATGGAAGATTGTATGGTTGAAAATAGGTGAGAGAAAGATGAGATGTAATGTAATTGAATTTAATAGAGAACAAACGGGGACTAATTGGATCATTGCACGTGTTTTTATACTTTTATTACGCTTTATAGGCAAACTGGGCAAGTAAAATGTCATATAACGTAATTCAATTGGATTATTTTTTTGGGGGCCCCACCGTCGCGCCCTTCAATTGGAATCTTATTAGTAATAAACATCAATGTTATGATGACAGAATTTTTTTATTATAATAGATGATTGATACTCACATTGACCAGAGCCCATCTTTTTGAATTTTTTTTTATTCAAATGGGACCCACGAGCTGTGAAAGGATGTCAACATTATGTCAAAAAAATTCTGGCAAAATAGTTTAATTGATAATAAAGTCAGTGCACTGTAGCCAGAGTGACTGGGTCAGGCTAACGTGAGCAGCCTCCCAACTCCTCTTCCACTTCACCTTCAAAAATATCAAATCATTATACGTGGGATAATTGAAATGAAATGTATACTAATCTAACATACTTTAATTTTATTTTTTTGGGTAGATGTTCCCAGTGTTATCTTTTGTGTAATTTATAAGTTAATTAAAATACTAAATCGACTTACATGATTGTTTTTGTTGTTCAATAAGAATAGTAGGAGAAATTCTTTATTTCATTCCGTGAAACAATCATCTTTTATATTTCTTTTTATATTGGTCAACCATTGGTTAAAAAATCTTTCAGTATCGTTTTTCTTGTTCTTAAGAAACCTTACTTTTCCATTAAATCCTACATATTATATTAAATCAAATTTGAAAATATTTACTGATTTGATTTTTGATTGAGAATTATTCAAGAAACGTGGAAGAAAGAATAAA